TCTCGATGTCAGTGAACACAAGCGTCACGGGGTCTGTGGGCTCCTTCGGGGCGTTGTTGTTGTCACGGGCGTCTCTCCGGCAGCACAGTATGCTTACGATCATTGCGGCCAAAAGCACGCCAATTGCAGAACCCATTATAATGCCAATTAACTGCTGCAACGTGAGGCCATCAGAAGGTTCCCTGTACACCATTGACGGTGTCACAGCGGGGAACAGCTCAGGCACCGTGGGGTCAAACACGCGGGCCATCGACCACACAGAAATATGTGTCGCTCCGTAGTTCACAGCACACACTGCCTCGTCTGGGGCGGCCTGCAAAGCGCATTCAGAACCGTCTTTGAATGGGCCATACAGCATGTCATCCACACTGATGGCAACGTTCCTGTAGAAGAAGCGAGCCAATTCTTCAGCACTTACCTGGCCCATACGCGAAAGAATAGTTTTCAACAGCAGCGTGTTGGCAAAGCTCCTCAGCGCCAGCGGAGTCCACTTCGTCCTGTCCTTCACAGCAGCGTGGAACTTCTGCACGGTCGCAGACGTCGTGCTCTCGTCTGCCCAGTGCGGCAGGCTCGTCGCGAACACAAGGCGCCCGGCAGCCGCACTCCCATTGAACGCAGCAACAAACTCATCGTACAGCAACGAGAACTCCGTGAACAGCACAAACACACGCACACCGCTGTGCTTCGCCAGGTGGCCCGCGACCCCAGCGACATCGGCAGCAGCGAGGCCCACGACGAACACATCGCCATCGTGAGGCAGGTGGCTCTCCAGCGCGTCATCGGCACCCAGCAGCGCGACCGACCGCAGCGACCCGCCAAACGTCACAAGCGACCGCCGCAACACATCCGCCATCGCAGCACCCTCGTCGCTGCGGATCACAGCGTGGGCGTTGGCACCGCTATTCTTTCCGAGGTACTGCGCAAGCACAAAGAACTCCTGCTCCAGCGTCGGTGAGAGGCGGAGAATGTGCCGCATGAACTGGTTGAGCCTTGACTTTAGCTCCACAGGATCGATAAACGTCACCTCTGATAATTCCAGCATTTTTTTGGTGACGATACCACGCACAACGTGAACACGTGTATCTTTCAATTTATTCCGTAACGCATTGTGAGCATAGCGCACAGGTGTTTGGAGGAATTGCATTGTATGATCCCCTCCGTCACCTAGACCGTTTAACCGTCCTTTCGCAGCACTATATCCGGTCTTAAGCTGGGACGCTGCGTTTATCGCACCAGAATCATCTTCGAGTTTTACTGTAATGCCATTGAGCGGCGCCATGATTCCCAGGCTCGAGGAATAACACTCCCACCGTGGGATCACGAGATTTCCCGCTGTGACATTTTGGGCGCGAAAGTCACCGTCAAACCGCTTCATATACACCACCCGGCCACCCTGGTTGCACTCGCAGATGGCGCCCTGTGATGTCATAATGTCAGAACACTTTCCACCGTAATCGCCGTAGACAAGATCATCAAGAACGTACCTGCGCTGGTTAAAAAGGGCTTTTGCAAACGTCTCCCTGTTTTTGAGCCATTCGCGGCTGCCCAGAGCCTGAGAAAGCATCTCCCCGGCAATCCAACCAGCCACCATCAGTTCACCGTCGTTGTCATTCTTGAGGAAGTGGTCCGGTTCAGTATAGCCTGTGTTCGGTGCTTGTGATAAATATGCCTGCATTACCTTTTGAAACCTTCGTATAGCCCCATACTGGATGTCGTTCGCAAGTGGGTTGGTTCCTGTCGTAATCAGCTGGCCACTCACAGACGGGACATTACCAGACAGTGTCTCACGCCATGTATTTACAAGAATACCTTGCACCGCAAAAGGAGCAAGAAGAAAGGCGCTACGCGTACGGTGGTCAGTCAGCATCCTCGTAATAAACTTTGAGGTATCCCCGATTGGTGAGCCAAACACAATAACAGCCTGTGGGCGTGTGCTGGCGAACTCTTCCCACGCAGCGTTAAATACCGTATCATCTGCCGCCCCAGTCACGGAGCTCTGCACAGTGAACACAGAGCACAGTTTGTAGCCAATTCGAGAAAGAACTCGAACAGCTTGAACATATTCCGCATCACCGAACGAGACACCCTGCAAGTACATGAAGCCCAGTCGCAGGACGCGCAAATGACTAACGGCGAAACGAAGCAGAGCCAGAAGCTCAGCAGCTGGATCAGGGCGCAGAAAGTACAGGTTTGGGGTCCAACCCCGAACCCGATTTGAGCCAGTAATGGGCGCGAAAGACACCAAATTGTGCTTGCTTAGTACAGGCAACGCCTTCAGAAGCGCATCATCGTCCATAGGACCCATAACCAGTAAAGCATCACTATTCAAGTTCAGTATTGTATCAAGCGATCCATTCAACGTTGTGTCCATAGTTTCACGTTTAATATTAATACGCACACCATCCGCCACAACAAGTCTCCGTGAAGCAAGAGAAGCCGCAAAACCCGCAGTAACAGCCCTTAAAACATGACGATCGAACGAGGAGTTCTTTAATTGAATAGAGAGTATCTGCACCGTCATATCAGGACACGTCACTTCACCCACAGCAAAATGTGAAAAGATCACCAGCAAAGAAAGGAAGAGGAGACCCAGGCCAAGGCAAAAGCGGTAAAAGCGTCGATAAACGTAATAATTCGAGAGCCCATCAACTAACTGTGGTTGAAGCATTCTCATTGAGCTAAGAGATTCTTGTGGTTCTGGGGATTCTCCCTTCCTCTCAGAAACAAACCAGGAAACAAAGAAGAGGGCACTAACACAATAGAGCATAACGATATCAAACACGTAGGACGCAGGCACGGGCAAAGAAGATGCCCGCAACCACATCATTCACTGCACCACACTACACTTCAGCAGCTGGAGCCACCGCGGTCACACACTGAGGCCACGCTGTGCCGGCAGTTCAGCATCGGCGTGTGGGCATCGCTGCAGCAAAGCACCACACACACAGGATCCATTAAAACACCTGCAGCATAAATCAAAACTCCACAGACACGCTCTCAGACACGACGCAGCATTACCGTAGTCACAGCGCCAATGCCAGCCACACCAGCAACCCGTCTGTCACACACGCACACAGCAACCCAGCGCACAGGCATCACAGCGCGTGCCAGACCCACCCAGCGCGGCACCCAGGACGAGGTGCAAAACCACCAATAGCGGCGCACTACAGCACCGCAGCAAGCCTCATATACCCCTACACACAGCTGCAGCACCAAACGCATCCACTACCAACAGCATCAGAAGCCGCACAGAGAAACAAGGAAAAAGATCACAGGGAAGAAGCAATCATATTCACACGTTACAGCATTGGAGAATGCAGCACAACGCCACACACAAACAAAACAAGTACCAGCAGTAGACACAGCACCCCAAGGAAAACAAAATCTGCAGCACTGCACCCCACACAGCAACCGCCAAGGGGAGTGAGGCAGACACCAAAGCAAGCAAAGAATGCGCGTGATAAGCAAGATGAAGGGTACCCAATATAACAAAACAGACACCGTGAAAACCCATATAAGAACACACCCAATGGAACTAGACACGTCACCAACAGCGGCGCACCACATCCCACACACGTCCCTTTGCAAGAGGGGAACAGAGGACTTTCTCCCGGAACACAGAGCCCATTGAACCGCACAGCAAGCAGAAGGTAGGAATACACACAATCATGGGATTGCCCTCCACGTTATCGGCCAGGCGTCCCGGATCGAAACGAGGCGCCGCGTCCACAACACGTCAGCCGCATCGGCACCACAAGGGTGGCGTCCGACAACGTCGAGTCCCCCGCAGACACGTCCGGGCGATGCCCACCAGCAGAGACAGCGACAGATGCGCACAGCGACACGCCATCCTCCCACGAAACGTTAAACGACCGACCACCACCGCACGAACTACGAAAACTACAGCAGCGTGGCACCGATGTGGCATCGTCAAGTGTGGCATTAATGCGTGCGGCAAGGCACTTTGTCAGCATCGCACCGTAGTCCTCGTCCGACATACCGCGAGGCCGCCCAACCGAACGAACTTCCCACCGCCGGCACAGCGGCTTCAGCAACTCCACACGCTCCGCCGCACCACAGCGCGAGAAGCACCGCCCAATAACATCGGCAAGAC